CTGCTTCAGCTGCAATAATTAAATTAAACGTGAAGGGATCCGTGAGCTGGAGGTGTAAATCACACCACATCACTAATTTATGGCGTTCATACCAGGGGGTTTGTGGAGTGTAATTGTGTATTGGAAATGTTACTGGGATTCCTGAGGAGCAGGGAGATGATTGCAGGGCTCTGTCCCTGCACCCAAAGTCATAAATTCAACGAGGTGAGGTTGGGTGAGTAGCTGAACACAAGGAATGTTGTGTGCACAGTTCACTTGGAGAGATTCTAAGAAGGGACTTGGATTTATTTCCTTTTCCCCCTGCAAAAATTATGCATTTTTGAATATGTGACAGATTCTTTCTCAACCATTGAAATCATCCAATTACATTTTTTGGTGAAAATGGACTTAAGTGAACTCTTTAGAAGAACAGCCTCAAACCCACTGTATTACCAGGCTTTGAAAAAAGTCTCTATTTGCTCAGCCAGAATTTGTGCAAATTCAAGTCTTCTTTTTCAGGCTGGATCTCCTATGTGCTGCATATGTCTAAGTCCTGTGACAATATTTGTAGAATATATTGCTGTCATGAACTAATGAATTAAAGTCCAGCTAAAAAAAAAAATCCCAAGCAAAATACATCAGAAATGTAAGCAAGATTAAATAGAAGATAAAGGCAGTAAGGGAGAACTTTTCTCTTTATGGTTTTTAGTTCATAACTGCTTGTGTTTGAAAATCCATCTGGCAGTCTTCAGTTATTTCACATTTCTCTTTTAAGTGATAAGAGAATAGCCCTGTACTTGCAGGTCCCAGAAGGACCCTGACAGCCATCCCCAGGCACACAGTGGGGCAGAAATCATTTCAGTTTGCCTCTTGTTCTTCCCAAAGGTATCACCTGTGGTTAAATTTATCTTTTTCTCTCAATTCCCTCACTATTTCCTAAGTCGTTTTTGAGAAAGGGAGAAAATTCGAGTGTTTCAAATTCAGATTTAACAAGACCAAGTGCTGTCATTTCCAGCCTAAATGATTATAAATGATAAATTAATGATAAATTATAAACTCTACTGATTTTAAAGTAAAAAAAAAGTTCCTTTTCCTTTCCTGGAAAAGGAACCATCCCCCTACCACGACTACACCCCAAAATGTTGGTACATTCACAACCAGAAATACAAGCAAACAGACACTAAACTGTGGTAGCAAAATTCTTTACTAATAAAATACCAAACATGGAACCGTTGGCTCAACACTCTCGTGTTCTGTACAAATAATTACAAACATTGGCACGAGTTTTAAATGGACATTGCATTGTCACCCACACAGATCCGTGAGGAGCAGCATTCCCATCACATCCAGCACACACCAGGAGCTCTTTTGTCCCTTTCCTCCTTGAAATAAGGCAAAATTCCCACTGCAGAAATCCACCCTGTGTTTCCAGAAGTGCCTGAGTCAGACGAGCTGTGAGACCAAATCCTTCGTGCATAGCTCTGAAAATCCTCATTTGAACTGAGAATGCATTAGCTGATGAATTTGGGTTGTGGGGGGGGGAAAAAATTGTGTTAATTTTTCTGCGTCCAAAAACTGATCTTGGAAGAAACAGAATGTGCTGAAATGCAACCAACTCTAAGACACTGTCAGCTCTGCTGATTTCTGTGCTCCTCCCTACTCGGAAGCAGAGGAGTAACTTTTAGATTACCTTTTTAAAGCTATTCATAAAATAAAATTTAAAAATTTTAATGAACTTCTAACCCAGAATGTATAAAAATGTTGGGGTAGTGCTCACCTTCTGCAGACAAACTGCCCCCAAATTGCCTGAATTCTTTTATCAGCCTATACAAAAATTTAAAAATAAGTATATGTACACTGCAATACTGTGTTTACAGCTCTACTTATATTTCTCATTGTTTTGTGATGGTCATTCATGGGAAAATGCATCTCATTTTTCAAAAGGCCACTAATACTGTTTTGTTTGTTTTAAAATTCATTATCTGAGGCCTCAGCTGCAAAAGCTAATTTAATTTAGCTGATACATATAAACTCACTAGCACAGTGCTTTTGTTTAAACAAATGGATTTGCCTTACATGCAATCATCTGCCTTTCCTTCAGTCACATTTTCCAGCAGGGTAACGTTATGTTTTAAGTAATTAATTATGCAATTAATATATTCTTCTTCAAAGCAGCCTAGGGAGCAGGGGAGGGGTTTGGTCTGGAGAAAAGGAGGCTCGGGGGGATTTCATTGCTCTCCACAAATCCCTGACAGGAGGGTGGGGTGAGATGGGGATTGGTCTCTTCTCCCAGGAAAAAGCAACAGGACAAGGAGAAATGGCTTCAAGTTGCACCAGGGGAGGTTTAGATGGCATTTATGAAAAATTTCTTCACAGAAAGGATGGTCAAGCACAGGGACAGGCTGCCCTGGAAGGGGTGGGATCACTGTCCCTGGAAGTGTACAAAACATGTGTAGATGGGGTGCTTAGGGACACCTTTTGGGGTTAAGGGGTGGACTCAATGAAAACTTGCAGTTCCTTTCCAACCTAAACAATTCTACGATTCTGTGAATGAAAAGATCAGTTTCTAGATCATCACATTGAGGAAAATTCTGTGCAGCAGCTAAAAGCATTGACTTGGGAAGCCACTGTGCAGAGAGGAGAGGAGCAGGATCCCCAAATCCCTGACACTGCAGCCTGAGCCCATCTGCTCCTCTGCAGAGCAGTGACAAATTAAACACTCGTGGGCAGCCATTGAGACTGATGTGGGGGCAAATCATTCTGGAGACATCTTGCACAGGTCACTTGAAATGACAAACACATCTCCCTGGAAACACTGATGGTTTCTTGTCTGGGAACTCGTCCCCAATGGCACATCAGAGATGGGTTTCATGGAACCACAGAGTGGTTGGGTTTGGGTTAAAGAACATCCATTTCCACCCCCTTGCCATGGGACATCTTCCACTAGGATTTAGCCCCAAAAATGCAGAGGTGGAGTCAGCAGAAGTGACCACCTGAGAACAGTTTACAGCTGGATTCAAGTGATTTGGAACCGTCCTGAACTCAAACAAAAGCCACAAGAGGTCAAGCAGGACTTAGTCCTCAAGAGTGACTTTTTTTATGCTGATGCAAAGCCACAAACTGCTGGCACCAGGCACAGAGGTGGAAGTGAGACCTACAATTGCCTGCAGCATTATTTCATTGTTACATTATTATTTATTACTCTATTAGTACCTCTGGGAACAAGAAGAGAACATCAGGCTGATGATGCTGTCCCAGATCACAGACCTCTGCCCCTCAAGACAGGGAGCTAGGAATGCCCAGGAAATATTCCTTTCTGCTCAGCATTTTTCCATAAATTAAAGGAATAAGCAGCTTGCACCTTGGGCACAATAGCAATGAATGACACAAGATATTTCTGCATATCACGTGGAAAGAATAGTGATTAAAAAGATGTTGGCTTGGCTTTATCAGTCTGACCCATCACACCTTCTGAAGGCAGCAAAAGTGTTCAGAAAAGAGATGAATTGTAAGTAAAATTGAGCTATAAAAATATTTTAATTCTTTAAATAAAATATTAAAAGTTTATCAAAGAAGCTTAAAATGAAGAAGGCCATTCTTCTGTCAAACAAATAAACATTGTTTCTTTCATCATCAGTGGTCAAATGTAAGTGCATGATCTCAGGTTACTCTACACCAGAGGAAAATAAATACTATTTTATGACCATTATTAAATATGTCTCAGGATTTTCCTACTGAAAATATTTATCCTGCTCTTCAGACACAGGCAATTAAAATGAGATGCTTGGGAAATCCTCACCAAGAAGGAGTTGAAAAGAGGGAAAGAGGGAAAGAGGGAAAGAAAGAAAGAAAGAAAGAAAGAAAGAAAGAAAGAAAGAAAGAAAGAAAGAAAGAAAGAAAGAGAAAAGAATCCTTCTTTTCAATAAAAAGAAAAGAAACAATAAAAATAAATAACACCAAAATAATAAAATCTACTTTCCTGTCTTTCTTCCATGCTTTTACCATGCTGGGTGTCAGATCCCCTCAGCTCCCCTTGGGAACAGCTCCACTTTTGCTGCTTTTTGGAAAAAACACTTCACACAGACATTACAGGCATTCCGTGCTGATAACACTGACCTTGCCTGTGCCTGCAGGAAAATCAAACAGGAGCATTGCCTAAGGGAGGATTTCTGAGCTCCCTTCTCCCTCCTCAGAGCCCTGAAGGATTTTTCAGCATCTGCTGTAAAGACCCCACTCCTTATCTCTGAAACTTAAAACCATCCCAGAGATTTCATGAGTCTTTGCTTGGGAATGAAATAAGAAATAGAAAATGATTGCTTGAGCACATTTTGCCACTAGGTCTTGTTCAAAAGAGAAAAATCCTCCTGTCTTCTCCCTCACACACCCAGTTTCTCTTTGGAAAAAAAAAAAAGTCTAAATCACTGTAAGTGACTCTAGTTTAGCCTTGGCAAACCATTCACAGTAGCTCTCAGGCAATCACAGTGAGACACAAATACCAAGGATGTCTCCAGGGTCTGTTTTAATAGGAAGAGCAGGACACCCTCCACTGGCTCCACCACGGGTTGTTTTTGGGAGGAAGCACACACAAGGAAACATCCACCAGGTGACCTGCAGTGCCCAAGGTTGTCCTGAGAGCATTGCATGGGCAAATTCTACCATCTCTGCAAAAAAAAAAAACCCTGGTGTAGACTGAAGGAGGGATCTGTGCCAGGATGCAGCTCAGCCCACACAGAGCTGGCTGCAAGGGCAGGGCTGCAGTTCCTCTGCCAGGAGGGAGCATCCTGACAGCCACAAATATCATCCCTTAGGAGACTGCACAGATGGGTGCAGGAATTTATCAAGGGCCACCAGGAAGATGGTGCAGATTTGATTTTCTGAACAAAAGCGCTTTGACTTTTTTTTTTTTTTTTGTTTGGCACAGCAGAAATGTTCCCAGGCCTCTGGCAGCAGGGTGGGTTAGCAACCCTGAATGTTTCAGGGAAATAAATAATAATAATAATAATAATAATAATAGTAATAATAATAATTATTGTAACTTGTGCAGAGAAGGGATGCACAGAGGTGGGAGTGAATGGGAGAGAAGGAAATTTGCATGTTCTTGGGCAGAAATAGGGAATTTTTTCACAGAAAGGGTGGTTAAGCACTGGAAGGGGTTGTCCACGAAGTGTTCAAGGAATGACTGGACGTGGCACTCAGTGCTCTGGTTTAGCTGACAAGGGGATGCTTAATCAAAGATTTGACTCAATGATCATGGAGGTCTTTTCCAACCTTAACAGTTCTCTGATTCTGTGATTAAAATAACATTTCAAAGTCATTAACGTGATGGAGCTGGAGTTAATTGGGAGTGTGCTGGAGTGGGGAGCAGCCCTGTAAAAGCAGAGAATTTCAGTTTGTTCAGTGGAGCAGGGCAGGTGCTAGAGCACTCCTCCTTGAGTTCCTGCCACTAAGTGGTTCCAGTAGCTCAGCTGCTCGAGGGGTTTTACTCCGTGGCACGTCACGATTTTCCTGAAGCGAGGAACAGAGAACCTGATCCTTTCTGGGAAAAACGTCTGCTCCGAGTGGAGCTCCTCCAGCTGAATTTTTAATTTGTCAAGGCACAGTCCTATGAACACATCCTCCAGTTTAATGAATGGAACACTCTCAGAAATGTTATAGATCTGGCTGGCTACGTCGCTGGATAAAACATACCCAGTCCCAGAACAAAAGGGTGGGTAGGTCGATCCTGGATACTCTTCCTTACTCACATACCACTTACTCCTTCTCGTCCTGATGGGCTGCTCGTGCAGTTTTAAAAAGCCTGTGAAGAATCCAGCAGTCTTCTTTTTCCTCAGAAGGAGCTCAGTGAGGTAAAAAACGTTGACAAACACATCTGTGTCGGTTTTCATGGCAAAGCTGGACTGGGAACAAAACCTGTGAATCCACTCAATTCCCATCATGGTCTTTAGGGTCAGGTTGTAATAGGTGTCCATAAAGTTCTTCTGGATGATGTCTCTGTACCTCTGGCTCTCAGCAGTGATGTCAGCCTGCTGCCTGGCATTCCCAGGGCTCCCCAGGAGGAAAAACGTCACCAGGCGCTTCCCAGCCACGGTCCTGTCCTTGCCCCAGGTATGCCTGATGGCCATCCTGGCACTCACCTGCTGGCACGAGGATGCCACGAGCAGCACAAGGAAAGGAGGGTTCTTGAGGCAGTCAACATCTGGGAGCTGGGAGAAGTTCCCTTCGATCCTCCTGAAAGTCTCCACGGGGAAGGTGTAACCCTGGCTGCTCTCACAGGACGTGCAGAATTGGGTCCAGCTGAAGAAAACCCAGAAGCTGGCACTGCTGAGCCCCAGCAGGCAGAAAAACAGCCTGAACTTCCTGGAATCTGTCTGAAAGGAAGAAGAAGGAGCAGCACATTCATAAAAATAATCTGAGGTTCCTCTCAGCGCTCTGCTCCCAACTCCCTGCACAGGGATTTAAAGCCAGCTCAGCTCTAATAGGAAGCTGCCTGTTTGAGGGCACTCACCCCCGTGCATTTCTCCTCCTGTCACCCCCATGAGATGTTCTGCTGGCAGATTCACACTTGGGCTTAACTTGAATCTGCCCTCCAAGCCAGTGTATCCTCAGAAATCCACACAAGCGTGTCCACTGACACCAGGTTACCCAGGCTGATGCTTCAAACCTCCTCCCCATTTTCAGCATCCTACAAAACAAGGTTGGACCCACCAGGGCCACAGGAGGAGCAGATTTATGCCTCCATCTCAGAGGGCAGAGAATAACAATGATAGCTTTTTGATTTGTTTGGGGGTTTTTTTGTTTTTTTTTAAATACCGTGTTTCTCCATTTGTGCATGTGTCCCAGAGCCAGCAGGTATCCAACAGGCCAACAGGTATCCAGCCAGATTCCTCTCATCTTCACCCCCTTTGTGTCCTTTGTGGGGCTCTTGCACCAACCCAGAAACTGCTCCTGATCCTTTTGCTGGAGGAGCCATGAGTCACATTTTTGAAGTTGGGTCAGCTGCCCTGAAAAAAAGAAAAGCAGCAAAACAGCAGTGGGTCACATTATTTGGATGTTTCAGCTTGTGCAGAGTTTGAGTGACTCACTAGGACATGCTGAGGTGAGAAGAGTCTTGTCCTATTCCTCTCCCCTTTTTAAGTGAGAAAGATCCAGACAACAACAACAATGTTCATTCATTCATTTAACCTTTTAAGAGATTAATGAGCTGGACATCATCTTATAATTCTAATAGAAATTTTGAGTGAGAGAAAAATTATCAAAGCAAACCCCCAACCCTTACAGTGCCAAAAATATTACATATCTCCATAAATTAACCTGGTGAGAGGAGTTTAAGGCTCGAGTTGCTCATTCCAGAAAGTCACAGACTCTCCTACTGCTATTTTTGAGCACTAGCATGGGGCAATTTTTACCAGGGGGAAACTTCCACCTTCCCCCTTCTTAACAAAGGATTGTATCTGGCTGCCCAACTAAAAACACAGCAAACCAAGTTAACCATGCCCAGAGCTGCAGATTTCATGGAAATTTGATCTCTGCCTTCTGACCAGGAATGTTGTGTGTAGACTCCCCCAAATTCACCTTCCATTTGCTCAAATTCCCCTTTCCAGGCAATCAAGAGTATTGCATTGCAGGATTTAAGTTCATTTGAAAGTCCAGCCAGGTGTCCCTGGAACCAAATCCAGCTCATTTTACCCCCAAGAATAGACCCATTGACTTCAGTGAGAGCTCTCAAAAGCATGAAACAAGTAGAACTGGAGTCTTGGTTTACTGGAATTGCTCCCACAGTGAAGTGTGCTTTTACAATGATTCACTAATGAATTTTGAAAATGTTTCAAAAGTTCACATTTCTTCTGGCACCTATATTTAAATTCACTTTATCCTTAAACAGAGTATTCTTCAGATCTGATTTTTTTCTTGTATTTATAGCCCACAGTAGTCTTGTAATTAACTTTACAACTGCTTTAGTTAAATATGTATATAAAATTGTGTAAGATTATACATATGCAGTTATATTATATGTACATGCAAAAGATTATACAAAAATCTGCTCTGCATCTGTTCTCACATTCTTCAGTGGCCTGGGAGGAAGCACATGAATAGCCTGAATGGTGTTTTCAGGACAGGGTGCTGTTCTGAGGTTGACAATGGAGATGTCCAAGAGGTTTGCTCCTGTCACCAGCTCACAGAAGACTCTTTGAGAGTCTGATATGTCTCTGTTACAGAAATTCCAGAACATGTACAAACCAAACACTGAACTAAGAATACAATGGAGAGCAACTTTCTATTAAAACCCATTAAAACCTTGCCACAAATATCCAAGTGCAAGGTGCCATAACACACAACAACCATTTTACAGGATTTCAGTAGAATCAGACTAATGTAACGTCACCATTCTTTACTTTTTGTTTCCAGCATTGGTAACAGATCTAAAAAAAAACTTTTAAAGGTCCTTGTTTTGGATAGCTGGGTGAGCAGCCTTTACCATTCCTGCCACCTTTCCCATTCTGCCTTTCCAGAATCAGATTGCCTTCCCCTTTCAGGCCACGCTGAAGGAGCACAGCTTGCACACACACACATAAACACATAAACACACAAACAAACACAGCTGGGCAATGCAAACGTTTGCAAATGCATGCAAATTGTAAACAGCATTTTAGAAGTTTTGCAAGTGGCACACATGTCCATGTATCCTGTCCCTGTGCAGGGAACAAGGGGTGGGCAGTGACCTCAGTAAGAAGAGCCATGGAACCATGGAATGGTTTGGGTTGAAAAGGATCTTAAAGATCCTCAAAGCTCATCCAGTGTCACCCCTGCCATGGCAGGGACACCTCCCACTGTCCCAGGCTGCTCCAAACCCCAATGTCCAGCCTGAGAGAACTCCAAGGTGACAGAGACACAAGCTGCTTCCTCCTGCCAAGGCCAGTTTTCTTCAAAACCCATCCATCAATCCTTGTTTTCAGATGAACAGGGAGAATTCTGAACACCAAAACCATTTTCTTTTAGTGCAGGCAGGGCAGTTCCTTGGAGCACTGAAGTTTCTGTATCAGGGAATTAAATCACCCTGGTATTGTCTCCTTACCCATGAGATGCTGAGCCCCCCTCTCACCCCCATTTTGCATCAAAACAAATCTTTCTGGTTTTCTATAAAGAAAAATGCATGACAGCATACTTGATTTTTCTCTGTGATCTCAGTCAGAAATCAGAGTTTTTAATCACCTCAAAGCTTTTTCCATCTCCTGTTGTTCCAACAGCAAAACATTTTATGAAGGGCATTGCCAAAAAAACTGCTTGTTTCATATCCTAGAGTTTTCTTAAACTGACTGGCACTTCATGGGTCTCTGCAGCTGTGGCTTGCATGGAATCCTGGCACCAAACCACGTGGGATTTGCAGCCTCTTGTCACACTCACCTGAAACGAACACACACAAAAAAAAGACTCTGCTCTCTCCCAGCAGCTTAAGGGGAGTTGAACATTTTTTATTCTCTTTGTTATTTATCAAATCCCTCCTTTTTTCTTGAGACAAGTCACGATACTTCATTTTTCAGCACAAAATGTTACAACAACTCTGACACTGAACACTAACAAGTGAAAACTCTGCAGTGGTTACAGAGGACTGCCACAAATGCATTTTGCAGCAGTCCCCAGTCTGGCAGCCATGAATTAAGCCAACCTCATCAAAGAGTTTTCTTCTTTCTGCCACTCTTCTATTGCTTTTTCTCTCGATTTTTGTCTGCTGGGCTTCAAACTCATCCCTGATGTAAGTGCAACATTCTGGTCCTATAATAGCACATTTTTCCTTAAGGCCATGAGGTTCTGTGGGGCCTCATTCCTGCCAACATTCCTTGAGAACATATCCAGCAATTAGCTACATTTAATATTTTAGCTACTTCGAATTTTTGTAGGAATTTTCATTACTAATCCCTCCATGAAACTCTAAAGGTGTTTTTGGCAAACAAAGATTTTGGTGAACTGTTAAGATACATCTTACAGAGACGAGCAATACTTCAGCTGCAAGTACTCAGTTTCAGTTGCAAACTTCTTTTTTTTCCTCATATTTTATTCTAGTTGGGGATAATAATTAAAGTTTAATAGTATAATTGATTTTTTTTCTGCCTTTCCTCTGGCTTGTGACCATCATGGAGTGTGTAAATCCCACTGGATTCCCAAGGCTTTGCTGACTTGTCCCACTACTCCTGCTATAAAATGAGACCCTCTGCTGATGACATTCCTAGAGGAGCTCCAAAGCATGGAAATATTTGATTTAGAAATATTTTCACGACTTCTTTTGCCATGTTGATACAACAGGGAAATGCTTCAGGTCACCCAGAAAAGGGATCCACTAAAAGATATTTACAGCTCTCTTTGCATGGAAATTCTGTAAAGCCAATTTGCCAATAATCTCCAGGAGAGTTACTACATTTGATAGCCTGAATCACTAATTTATTCTCTCAGAAACTATTACTTGTCCAGCTGGGGTGACTTCCCATCCAGCAGGGTGAAATTTAGAATAGAATGCTTTGATTAACTGACGAATTTTTGTGTTATATTCTGATTTAATATCTGACTCTGCAGCTCTGTAGCTGCTCACAAACAGCTGGGCCAGCGTGGCACAAGGGAATAATTCAAAAGATTTCACAGGATCTAGGAAGCCCAAAGCTGGAGACATCATTTGTGCTTTTGAAGATGTTTGAAAGCAGCCTGAGTATCATCAGGCCATATAATAAAGTCTTTATGGGCAGTTTTAAAAGTCCATAAAAAGGGTGGACCAATAATCCAAAATCCCTTTAAATCTATTACAGTGAACCATTCAAAATTTATTTATTTATTTACCTTTTTTTTTTTTTTTATTGTGGTTATGTGTGTTGTGGATAACTTAGCAATTTTTAAGTTAGTTAGCAATTTTATTAATTGCTTTTGAGTCTTATACCAACTGATAATCTTTACTATTAACATTTTTGACTGGCAAAATTGGAGTTCACCAACAACCTGTACCTTAAAATTTTCTCAATAATAGGTAATGAGCCTCCTCAATGTTTTAATTTTAAAGGATATTTGTTTTGTCTTACCAGGCCTGTGTCTTATTTAATTTGATTCTCACAGGTTCTGCTTTTTTTTGATTTTTCAGGAATCTCCCTGGCCCACACAATGGGGATGACTGCATTCTTAATTTTCTTTGGGGTAAGTTCAGATTGGGAAGTCAGTGTAATATAAAAATTAAATTTTATATGTATTTAGACTCGAAGATTTTAATTTTATTATCTTCTTCCTGAAACTTGATTTTTTGCACTCAACTTTCCCAGTAAGTTTTTCCTTAATAACAGTTTTGGAGAGTTCAGCAGGTACAGAAATTAATGGGTTATTTATAATTTTCCTAGTTCGAAATTGTTGGCATCACTAGATTTCCCTTGCAGGGTATTTAATACTGAATAATTGGTTCCTGTGCCTACTAAAAATTCCAGGTTTTCATTCCTTAGTGTGGCTGTTTCCAGAGGCTCTGCTGTTGCTATGAGAAGGTTTGGAGGAGTCCTGGGTTTTACCTGAGGATACTCCTGCTTCCAATATTTATATTTTTTTGTAATATGTGTATTTATTAGTTCCCAATCTTCCTAATGAAGATTGAGGAACTGAACCCCTTCCCCTGTTACAAGACTCCTCCCTGAGGCTAAGAATTTTTTGCTGTTTTCTTTTATATTTACTATCATTTTCTGTTTAGTTTTTTTCTGGTTTTTTTGGGTTTTTTTTCTTTTTTTCTTTTTTTGGATTTGCACATTGATACACTGCCCATGCAACATCAAGTAGTTTACCTATATTAAAACCTATATTTATATAGTTTATATAACTTATATTTATATATAACCTATATTTATAGTGTTTACCTATATTAAAAATCCATTTCTTGGATTTTCCATAGTTTTATTCTGATATCATCTGAGGATTGTACTATGAAAGTAGGAGCCAGGTGACTTTTGTCCTCCTCAAAAACGTTTTCTTATCTTTATTTCTCTC